GAAGGACCTTGGAATCATATGAAGACATTCTACAGGGAAGAATCATCTTTCAGGTACCTGAGGCAGTGTTACATGTTTTAATATTACCTTAAAACTTAGTTGTACCACAGCAGATAGCATCTTATTGCTTTTTAGGCGTTTAACCTTTACGTAAATTGTGGCCCCAGTAACTGGTTACGGTATTCTTAGAAACAGTTTGGTACTAATAATATGGAAAGTGTGTTGTGTGATCATCAATATGAAAACTTGCTGAAACTAGCATGGAGTTGCCAACAGGTTGATGTATCTAGCTGAATTAATAGTTGCACTTTATCCTGTAGGCAGTGTTGTGCTTCTCTTGTTCTACTTCTACCAGGTAGTAACCGGCTGGTTACTGCCATCTTTCCAATCTGTTTCTGAGCATATGCATGATATGTGGTTCCTGTTTTTGCAGTTTTTCAGGGAATGTGTATGTCGGACAAAGTGCCATATTTGATACTTTATCAAATATAAGAAAGAAGTTAAAAGGTGATCGGCCTAGAGAAAAAATTGTTCATGTTGTTGAGAAGCTACACTGCCGTGCGAATGGGGAAACAGAAATCGCTATTCGTGTGTCTGGGTCATTCATCACGGGCAACCAATTCCTAATATTTGGTGAAGGGTTGCAAGCTGAAGGGATGCCCAGCTTGGACGGAATTGATATCGACATTCCAAGCAGGCGCGTAGGCCAGTTCCGGGAGCAGTTCACCGTGCATCCAGGGACTTCCATGGGGTGCTACTACATAGCAAAGCAAGACCTCTACATCGTTCAGTCCTGAAAACAATGTATAAACTGTAAGGTGAGCCTTCTAAATCTCATGTGTACTCTTTGATGGATCGCTCTTAATGCCGTGTGGATCATCTGTTTGCTTATGAGATTTCTCGGCTTGCAGTTATGTTCCGTTTGTGCCGTCAATGATTCCAGTTCCCGATGAAAGCTAGCTATGTCATGGTTTCCACTTTCTCGCGGCCCCTTGACTTCGACATCGACAGGCTTGAGACCACAACGCAGTCCTGCTACCATTGACATTGATTCCATTTCTTCTCGATGCGAGCAATCAAACCTGTAGCTGAAACATAACTTGATCGTTGACCACTTGTTTGTAAGGTGGCAAGGAGGATGAAGCGATTCTAATGATTGTTGTGCATAGATAGATACTCTTGACACATGGTGCGGGTTTATTCGAGGCTGCTCGATTTCTGTTGTAGATGAGAAGATTGCGCGTGTGCGCTAATAAGTGACGCAGCCCCAATGTAGGTCTGTACTACTCATGCTTATGTGGGAAAAAAAAGACTATCTATAATTAACTCCGCTGGTACTGTATCGTTCTGTTTGACATTTTTCTTTTTTCTTCAACTGTTACTAAGATGCCTGAGAAGTTCAAATTTTATGCACTTTATTTCGATGGAGTGATCTTGTCTATAGCAAGAGCTGCCAAACGATTTGTGATTTCAGTATTGTTCATTTATTTGGAAGTAGATAAATTCCAATAGTGAAGGTCGCATATGACAACTTATTTGAATGATTTTTTTTGGCTGAAAATGGAGTCCATGCCAATGTTCCTAAAGAGATCTTCTGATATATATATATATATATATATATATATATATATATATTAGTGGGCTATGTCATATTTACATTTGTTTCTGAATTATGTGCACCAGAAAGAGCAATTTGGTCGCGTTTCTGAACTATGCACGTGTCCTTATTCGGATCCATTTTCGATACCCGTCGGTTAACCATTCCCCCATCGGGTTTGATGTAGAATTGATTGCGGTCTATCTAAGAGCACAGAAGTAATTATAGTTTTTTGTTTGTAATTATAGTTGTTCAACAACAAGAAACATATAAGCAATTGTAGTTTGACACGTAGACGATATTAGAGTTCAGTGTAAGTTAAAGTAAAAAAAAAGTGTTCAACTACAATATTAATCGAGCGAGCGACACATAGGTAATCGGCCAGAATAAACTTGGACCCCCATACCCCTAACCCTAAGGGCAAAAACGATGACCCGTTCCCTATCCATTAAGATCCACCATAGATGAAAATGACGTCCAACACCGTATCCATTCATTTTGAGTTTTTTTTTTGCGCGAAAACTTCCGATCTATTCATCAACTGTCAAGGTAGTACAAAAAACACTAGAAGTAAAAATTACATCCAGGTCTGTAGACCACCTAGCGACGACTACAATCTCTGGAGCGAGCCGAAGGCGCGCCGCCGTCATCGCCCCTCCCTCGTCGGAGCCGGGCAAACATTGTTGTAGTAGACAGTCGGGAAGTCGTCGTGCTAAGGCCCCATGGGACCAGCGCACCAGAACAGCAACCGCCGCCGATGAAGAGAAGCATAGACCGGAAGGATCCAACCTGCAGACACACAGACGTAGACGAGCGAAGACCGGATCCAGTCGGATCCACCGAAGACAAACGCCGACCGGATCCCATGAGATCCGCCGGAGACAAACCTCCACACGCCTTCCGACGATACTTGAAACATCACCAGGACGAGGGCTAGGCGGGGAGGACCTTATTCCATCTTCAAGAAGCCGCCACGGCCTCATCTTCTTGAGCATGGCACAAACCCTAACAAAACTCAGAAAATCATCTAAAAACGGAGCCCTCCCGCTGGCAAGGGCCGGGATCCACCGTGCCTCCATGATCCGAGGACCATAGAAGATAAGGCGGACCGGCGGCGCCGGCGAGAGGCAAGGAAACCCTAGATGGGAGTTGGGCGTGGGCAGAAGGAGCGAAGGGTTCTTCCGGTCCGTGTTTCTGTTGTGTGTGTTTGTTAACTCCATTCATTTTGAGTTACCACCTTATAAAGAGCTGGGGGGTGGGGGATGCTTTGTGATTTGTGAATGCCACATGTCATCCATCAGGATGGGTCTCACCTGCTAATCCGTGAGACCTGGTCTCATACAATTTTTTCCCCCCGCCGCCGCCGCCGCTCCAATCCAATCCCGATTCGATTCGATTCCGGCCGCCGCCCACCCTCTACTCTCCTCTCCGGAACGCAGGCGGCGATGCGCGGCGGGCGCTCGGGGGGAGGGGGCGGCGGGGGGCTGCGGAACCCGTGCCTGACGATGCACCAGCCGTGGGCGTCGCTGCTGGTGCACGGCATCAAGCGCGTGGAGGGCCGGTCCTGGCCGTCGCCGGTGACCGGCCGCCTCTGGATCCACGCCGCCTCCAAGGTGCCCGACCCCGACACCGTGGCCGCCATGGAGGCCTTCTACCGGGAGATCTACGCCGTCGACGGCGTCCACCACATCGACTTCCCCCAGCACTACCCCGTCTCCCGCCTCCTCGGTCCCTATCCATCGTCTTCCTTGCTAGTTACCGATTATTGCTGCTCCTCCTCCTAAGCTTGCTGACGCCATTGCCGATTGTTGCTCAGGGTGCGTCGAGGTGGTCGGCTGCGTCAGGTCCGAGGAGCTCGTCTGCTGGGAGGACGTGCCTCAATCAGTAACGCCCTTTCTTTCCTCTCCTGTGCACAAGCCATTCCACAATTTGTCATGTCATGCCACTCAAAACATTGCTAAATATGGTGCTTCTTGAATTGATTTGATTTGATTTGATTTGATTGCAGGTCAGGCTTGAGGGCTTGACTGACTTCTGCTGGCTTTGCGAGAATCCACAGGTAAACCGCCCCCGAAACCTCCCATTTACACGTCAGTCGCAATTAGTATGCTGTCATTGCCTAGATTCACATCCCACCTTGTCAAAGCGCCCACCTTATATGCCTCAGACTGAGATGCCTGTTTTTTTTCTTTCTTTCTATTTTTGACAATTTTCCATGCACTTTGAATTGTGCAGAAGTTGGTGGTTCCGTTCGAGATGCGCGGTTACCAGGGCGTGTACAATTTGGAAAGAAGGGTCAGTTGTTAAAGCAATGCTTTTCATCCTTCTTTTGTCGCTGCAAGTGCAACCGTTTGAGCTTATTCTGCGCCGTGTCGTGTCGTGTCGTGTCGTGTCGCAGGTCTATGAGGGAGCCGCCAGGGGTCTTTCGCATGTTCAAGGTCCACTGCCGGTCAAGTTCCCGCTTCCAGATCCCAGAAACCCATTATCTCTCAAGCCAGGGTCTCTTAATTTCGACTCTTCAAAGTCCGCCCTGGTCAAAACTGAGAGTGTTTCTGCAGCGATAGCTGGGGCTAGAGCTGCCGCGACTCAGTATTCGAGGAAGGGCACTAGTGCTGCCACTAGCAGCGAGATTCAAACTCGAGGGAAATCAAGGGAAAATCATGCCGATGGCAGTTCAGGGAGTGGTGCTCTGCCGTCTTTTGTCCAGAACAGCCCATCCCATCCGCAAAACCAGGATAGATCGCCTGTTGTCCAGAACGGTTCACCCCATCTGCAAAACCAGGATCCATCCCCTGTTGTCCAGAACAGTTCATCCCATTCGGTAAACCAGAATACATTCCCTGTTGTCCAGAACAGTCCATCCTACGCACAAACTCGGAATTCTCAGTATATGGTTCAGAGCAGTCCATCCTACTCGCAAACTCACAATCCTCAGCATATGGTTCAGAGCAGTCCATCCTACGCGCAAACTCGGAATTCTCAGCATATGGTTCAGAGCAGTCCATCCTATTCGCAAACTCAGAATCCTCCGTATATGGTGCAGAGCAGTCCATATTCGCAGAACACTCCATCCTATTTGCAGAACCAGAGTCGATCGTCCAATATCCAGAGCACTCCATTCTATTTCCATGACCAATATCAATCGTCCAATGTTCACAACAGTCCATCCTACTTCCATTATCAGAACCAATCCCCCACTGTCCAAAACAGTCCATCCTATTCTCATGACCAGAATCCACCATCCAATGTCCAGAACTACCCATCCCATCTGCAAAACCATAACCCATCTCCCGTTGCCCACAACAGTCCATCATTTTTGCAACACCAGAACGCCGAGCCTCGGAGAAGTCCCAGACTACAGGGTGGAGCTCCCCACAGGGTGAGTGCTCATTTTTCATTCTGAAGCAGAATTTCGTACCACCAAGATAACTATGAAGTATAAACTGGGGCAGTGAGTAAATTTAGCTGTCTATCCCCAGTAACTTATTGCTGTTTGATTTCCCCAGTAACTTACGTATGAAGCTAAACTAGAGATTTCTATACTAAGCTGTTGCTGTTAATTTGCACGGCCGGGCTTGGAGACAACTAGACACATAGTTTGAATGCTGGAATTACTGGACATGTCTAGTACACACATGGTCACTTGTGTATGAAGCTAAACTAGAGATGTCTATAGTAAGTTGTTGCTGTTTATTATTTTGAAGCGTTAGATATGTAAACAAGTATTTTGTTTCTCTCTCTGTGTGTGTGGAATTAGCAGCCACCTGCCAGAGTTTATTTTTTCAATTTCCTTGCACGGTCAACGTGTAAGGTGTGTTTTAGTCAGATGTTTTTTTTTTCCAATTGATGCCTAACCCTGTCTTTCTCATGATTTGTTCATTTTGCAAACTAAACTAACGGTTATTTGGTTAGCTCGTCGCAGCGGCGTTGAGAGACCTGAAGCAATCAAGCTTGCGCGAGAGCGGGGAGCAGTCGTCAGCTCCCAGAAGCTGACCTGAATAATCTGACGATGAATTAAGGTTCTTATTCATCGGTGCGACACTGTGCGACGATACCGGCTCCTTAATTGTGTACATTGTAGCATTTACCCGTACTTTTCGGATTGAAGGTAGTGTGGCATAGCATGATAGTGTGGTGATGAATGTGTAAGGGGCGACGCTGTGCCGTGTCCTGTTGAGCTTTCACTGCAAGGCGTTGCAGGCCATGTATTCTCATGTAACATACTGAACTTAGGTTTGGTTCGAAATACTCTAGTGCTTAGACTAGTTGGTGGTTGGATGTGTATCTCATGCATTGACAGTTAGGGGTCAGTTATTTTCAGCTTACCAGTTTTCGTATTCGGATTCTAAGAAACTGTCCACATAATTATTTTCAGCTGTTGCAGTATGAGTTGTGTGCTGAAATGTTCTCTCCTGGAGTTGTATGATGAGTTGCTAGCACTAACTTGTTACAAATTGTTTTATATTGAATATGAGCACCATAACAATTTACAAACATCATAAAGCGCTAATTCGACGATATTTCATAGACAAGTGGGGGATTTGTTGGAAATCCCTGTGCATGATTGGAGGGGCGGCGTCAATGAGCAGTACACATCATTGTGAATGGGAGTTTAAGATTAGTGAGACTAAAAATCCGTTGATTGGTTCAGGGGTTTGGGAATTAGCAAGGGAAGGGGAAGGGGAATTAGGAGGGCCAACTCCCATCGATCTCTACCCGGGGGACCCTGGTAACTCAGCGGAGGAATGGGAATTGGATGTCTAAAAACATATCGTTATTACATATTTGGTGGACCACCTCCCGCAACAAAAGGAAAAAAAAACCATGAACATCTTAGCTAAATATGTGTGGCGGTAGAATTTTTCCTCCAAACAAACCGGCAGATGGTATGTATAAATGCAGATGCTAAATATGTGTGGCGCTAACTACTCCCTAATCTGCAGATGCAACGCCAAAATAGGAGTACATCTCACGTAATCTACTCCTTCTTTTCTTTGTTCATGGGAATTATTCCCATAAATAATCTCACCCCGTACCAAACGTGGGACTGGGACTAACATGCCTCTTTCCAATCCTAATCCCTCAGCCAACTCCCTCTCATAAATTCCCAATCCCTTTCCCTTAAAGTACCAAACACGCTGTTGGTATCCAATTGTTTTTACATTAATGGTATGTATAATTGCATGCTGATACTAGGTAGGATTTTCTTTTTTAACGATAATATTAGATGTGATATTAGTTGTGTGCTAAACTTGTTGCCAGCTAACCATCCAAACAGGCTAGATCATTGTATTGACATGATTGGATGACGGAGATTAGTTGACATTTGTGTCTTTTTACATTGGTATAGATATAGATATATTATACCTTCAAATAGTGAGTTGCGGAGGGAGCACCAACGAATTTCCGGTTGCGAGAGTGGTGTTTTGGCACATGGGAGCGCGCGCTCCTGGTTTTTGAAACGTGTTTTAAACATATTTTGAAATGTTAAAAAGTTTCAAACAAAACCTTGACGCGTACATCTCGATATTGTATATGCTCACAAAGTCGTTTCAGAAAAAACGACAACTTATGTTGGGTATGAAAGAGACAAATCCGGTGTTAAAAATATGCTTTTCACAAGACATCCTTTTGTCTTTTTACATAAGCCATAAAAAATGTCGGTTTTCTCCGAAACTTGACGTGCACACATATAATGTCGAGATGTATGCGTCAAATTTTTGTTTGGAATTTTTTCACACTTGGAATATTTTTTTCGCGTGCAGGAGCACGCGCTCCCGGGAGCACCAACGAATTTCCGGTTGCGGAGATCCAACATATCTCATCCGTTCAGCAGCATCTATGAGTGGTTTATGTCATTCCGGTGTTTAGTGATAAACCTGTTTAGCACCCTCGCTTAATTAATATGATATGATAAGCACCAACCAATAAATATGTCCTATCTAATATTAACGTGCAATTAATATTTTATCAAATACTAATTTTAGTGCAATTAATATATCAATATCTAATATTAACGTGCACTGATGTACATGATTACCACCTCCGTCTACGTGAATAAGTCATTCGCGTAGTTCTAGGTCATCAATTTGAGGAATTAAATATCTGTTATATGTCATGAAAAGTGTATCACTAGATTTCTAAACGGATGTAGTTTCTAAATATATACTTTTTGTCACATATAATACATATTTAGATAGTTAAATCGTCGATCTAGAACTACGCGAATGAATTATTCACCGATACGAAGGTAGTACTATTTTTAGAAGTACTTTAATATAACAATTATACACACTTGATTTATACTAATAAATGACACATGGCAGATATGTATGCAATTAATATCTACCTTGCAAGAGTTATTTATCCAAAACCACCACACTTGGGGCTAGGGTAACAGGCCGGTACCAGATTTGAACCATGTTACAAAAAACCACCACATTTGCGCCTAACCGATAACACGGAGCACCAACGGTCTCATAAGCTCGTGAAAACAGTCGTTCTGACCTCTTGGGCCCACTTGTCAGGCTAAGATGGCGAAGACCAAAATTTTGACCAGCTGATGTGGCAAATGAGATGGAGGCCCTACCTGTCAATGAGTAAATGGCCATCTTCTTCCCATCTCTATTTCTCTGAGGCATTTCATCAAACAGCTTCAGGACGACCGTCGGAGAGCTCTTTCGTGCAAGGACCTATAAGTTCATTTTATCATCATGTCACCCACAAAGCATGTGCAAGAAAGTACACAGGGTTACGGCAAAAACTGGATGCACTTCGTGTACAAAACAGACAATCTCTTTCAAGGAGGAGGAGGAGGAAGGAGGGGCTACGATGGAAGAGAACGTCACCGGATTTGAGGTAGACGTCGAGGTGCGAGGCCGGCAGCTGCGGTGGGCGAGGAAGGGCGTCGCAGGTGGGAGGGAGAAGTGAAATCGAGAGAGTGTGTGGGTCTAGGATTGGGCCTCTGTGCGCTATGTTTATACATGTGTCAGTGGGTTGATAATAGTAGCGCTGGGTTTATACCCACGCTACTACTATGGCATGTCCCAGGGTGCACGGTGGAGACCACTTAGTAGTAGCGTGGGGTTTATAACCCGCGCTATTACTATTAACTTAGTAGTAGTGTGGGTTTATAACCCGCGCTACTACTATGGCTGGTCCCGGGAGGCACGGTGGAAATCACATAGTAGTAGCGAGGGTTAAAAACCCGCGCTACTACTATCAACTTAGCAGTAGCGAGGGGTAAAAACCCGTGCTACTAGTAAGTAGCAGTAGCGAGGGGTATAAACACGCGCTACTAGTAAGCATCTGCCTATAAGATTTTCCCTAGTAGTGCTTGTTTGTCTTTCCTGTAAGGTTACTGAGAGCAGGCCAATCATTGATGATTAGAAACAGCAACGCATGCAGGTCAAATTCCTCCTGTTTGTGCTCATCCCACACACGTACACCGTTTCCAATCCACAGATGTAAAAGTTCTTCAACTAATGGTCTTAGGTACACATCAATGTCGTTGCCGGGTTGCTTAGGGCCTTGGATAAGAACTGACATCATAATGAACTTCCGCTTCATGCACAACCAAGGAGGAAGGTTATAGATACATAGAGTTACGGGCTAGGTGCTGTGATTACTGCTCTGCTCCCCAAAAGGATTAATGCCATCCGTGCTTAAACCAAATCATACGTTCCTTGCGTCACCTGCAAACTCCTCCCAGTACTTTCTCTCGATTTTTCTCCACCGCGACCCGTGAGCGGGTGCTCTCAACTTCCCGTCTTTCTTACGGTCCTCTCTGTGCTATCGCGTCAACTTGGCATGCTCTTTGTTTCTGAACAGGCGTTTCAACCGTGGTATTATAGGAGCATACCACATCACCTTGGCAGGAACCCTCTTCCTGGGGCGCTCGCCGTCAACATCACCAGTGTCATCTCGTCTGATCTTATAGCGCAATGCACTGCATACCGGGCATGCGTTCAAATCCTTGTACGCACCGCGGTAGAGGATGCAGTCATTAGGGCATGCATGTATCTTCTGCACCTCCAATCCTAGAGGGCATACAATCTTCTTTGCTGCATACGTACTGTCGAGCAATTCGTTATCCTTTGGAAGCTTCTTCTTCAATATTTTCAGCAGCTTCTCAAATCCTTTGTCACGCACATCATTCTCTGCCTTCCACTGCAGCAATTCTAGTGCGATACCAAACTTTGTGTTGCCATCTTGGCAAGTGGGGTACAACCCTTTTTTGTGATCCTCTAACATGCGATCGAACTTCAGCTTCTCCTTTTCACTTTCGCACTGTCTCTTTGCATCAACAATGACCCGGCGAAGAACATCATCAGGCACATCGTCTGGTTACTCTTGATCTTCAGCTTCCCCCATTGCAGCATCTTCAGCTTCCCTCGCTGCAGCATCACCGTATTCAGGGGGCACATAGTTGTCATCATCTTCTTCTTCTTTGCTGTCTTCCATCATAACCCCTCTTTCTCCATGCTTGGTGCAAACATTATAGTGTGGCATGAAACCCTTATAAAGAAGGTGGGTGTGAAGGGTTTTTGAGTCAGAGTAAGACCACGTATTCCCACATATAGGGCATGGACAACACATAAAACCATTCTGCTTGTCTGTCTCAGCTGCGAGAAAATTATTCATGCCCTTAATGTACTCAGAGGTGCGTCTGTTACCGTACATCCATTGTCGGTTCATCTCTGTGTACATCATGAATAGATAAATGACCAAATTAATAGAAGTTTATCATCACATTAAACCCAAAGTACATACATAGTTCTTATTGAACAACATATAGCTCTCAAGAGCATCTAATTAAACAATACATTGAAACTATGTAAAACATTCCAATGCAACAACAAATGCGATCATAACCGCAATCAAGGTAACAACTGATCCAACGACATAATGATACCAAGCCTCAGTATGAATGACATATTTTCTAATCTTTCTAATCTTCAAGCGCATTGCATCCATCTTGATCTTGTGGTCAT